CTGCTTTCCCCTAAACTTCAGAGGCTCACTGCACGGTTCACCTACAGTGCGCGGGCCGTTAGGGCGGCCGCAGCGAGGCGCCAGGCGGCGGCTCACCAGCCGACCTCCTCCTCTGGGAGCCAAGGCCGGGGTGGGGCGGCGCTGGCTCCTCCGAGGCCTCTCGCCTTGCTTGTGGATGCCGTCTCCTCCCTGGGTCCCCACACGGTCCCCTTCTGTGTGCGCCTGAGGCCCAGTTTCCTCTTCTTACCAGGTCACCAGTCAGATGGATCAGGGCCCAGCCTGATGATCTCACACTACGTCCATCTCCTCTTTAAAAACCCACCTCCAAATACAGTCAAATTCTGAGTGCCGAGGGCGAGGATTTCAACATTTGAATTCTGGGGATGCAATGCAGCCCACGACAGTGCTTCACTATGTCTGAGCTACCTGCCACCAGCTCACGCTGTGGTTTTGGAAAGTCACCGGGTATGTACTGTTGGTAACCTCCTCCTGGCCAGAAGGAGACGGAAGGTTCTCGGAGCGCAAACGTGCGCGGCTCCTCCGCTCTCTGTGCGAGGGGGTGCCACGTCCGTCCTTCTCTGTGGAGAGTCGAGAACTGCTGTGATTCCTGAATGCACTCCTCCACCACTGTCCCTCGGGTCACCTCTGAGCCTTTTCTTCAAGGTAAGGAGCAAAGACTGCCGGCTCATTTTGTTGTCCTGTGAATCCAGACTCCCGAGCTCTTGCCCCAAGGCCGCATGGCCACGTTGGGGTGGGTGCCGGGTGGAAGGCCAGCCGTTCTCCCTGCTGGCTTCCCTGTGCCAAGTGCGGACCCTGTGCTGACACTGTCGGGGATCCTGGTCCAGCGTCTGAACCGCGGTCTGTCCGTCCACCATGCAGGTAGCCTTGGGACAGTGCCGTCTGACCACACTGCCCAGTGCTCAAAAGACCAGTGATGTGCCCAGACATTCTAGGGCCATTTCTGATCTTAAAGGCTTTAAGTGTTTAATAAAGTACAACTTTGGCAGCTTTAGAAGACTTAGCTGGGACAGCTGAGTCCGACAGCAGGGTGGTTCCCGGCCTTTCTGCCCACAGTCACATGACACGCTGTCTCACTGCTGCCCCAGTGAGGATGGAGTGCTGCTCAGACACGGCCAGTCGGACGCCCCACAGCCTAGCCCAGTGCCTAGTTTTCTCTCCTTTTGCTGTAATTCTTGTTAATACTTATTAAGTCCTGAGGGGAAGCTTGTTTCTAGGAAGAGCAGCCCCAGATATGTCCAGCTGGAAGGCTGGAATGGTTATTTTGGCGACGGGTGACTGACAGATTCACTGTGAGGTGAGAAATGTAACAGCCACAGGCTCATTTTCTCCAGAGTCTTTGCTGCATGGTTCTAGAGACATCCAGTTTGCCAGTTGTCTGGTGACAGTGAGGCTGTCTCGTCCTGAGGGACAGGGGCCACAGGGGAGCCCATGCTCCGTGGAAGTAGGTGGCCACTTAGGGTGGGACCAGCACCTCCGCTCCTGCTCCTCCTTAACAGCTCGTCGGACCAGGTGACGGGCTGGGCTGGGTCTAAAACGGAGCAAGGGCTTCCTTCATCTAGCGATGCCGCCAGCCTCCCACCTCCCTGGGCCCGGGCATTCTCAGCTCTCAGGGAGGATGACTGATCTGATTATGTCTGCAGTCCCTGTGACTTTGCCGTGGCCTCTGGACCCATGGTCATGCCTACACCCACAAAACTGTGCTTTTATGGAACAGCTGGTCCACATCCGCACCTCGGTCAGCTGTGATCACTTTGTGGGAGCGAGTCCCCCTCCACCTGGGGCTGGGGAGAGCTCGGAGCTGGGGCCCCACAGCGAGCACAGTGTGTGCAAAGTGTGGCCCTGAGTTTGTCTGACTTTTCTCCATTTATCATCCCTTCGACCCAACTTTCTTATATTCTTTTTTTTAACTTAAAATTGATCAATTTATATTTTGAATAAGTAATGCATTTCTATGGTTCAAAAAAATTTTAAATTATGCAGTGGTATAGAGTGAAAATTTCTCCCTCCCTGTCCTGTTGTCCAGTCCCCGACCCTCAGCCCTGTGGGGAGCCATGGTTAGAAGTTTCTAGAGGTCCTCCCTTCCAGGGAACTTTTAGGCATAAAGACGCATATCAGTACACATTGTGCATCCGTGTACAGATGCTCATGTTTTACTTCATCCTTCCCCACAAGCAGTGCTGTCCTACACACATTGTTCTGCAACTTATCTTGGATTTTTAAAAAACTAACAGCACATAAAATACTTCCTCCTCATCATTTTTTAAAACTTCAAGTATTCTACTGTATGGCCATATCATAATATATTTCACTAGCTTATTTTTTATTTAATTATCTCTTCTACAGGCAGACTAGATCATGGTCAAAAGCATACACGCACTTTTTCTCAGCTATACAATGAAATGCAAATCCAGGTGCTGATGCAAAGAGGTTTTTCAGATGTAATTAAGATCCCTAATCAGGTGACCTTAAGTTAATCAAAGGGGAGACTATCCTGGGTGGGCCTCACTTCTTTAGTTGGAAGGTCTTTGAAAAAGGCTGAGGTCTTGAAGTCAGCCAGAAAGAGAAGGAAAAATGCCATACGATATCACTTACATGTGGAATCTTAAAAAAAGGACA